ATCGGCCATATATATTTGATCTGTTTTCATAACCTGAACTTGCTACTTGAGAATTTTACCACTTACTAATTAAACCACTTACTAAAGCGAATGATGAATGATGAAATCAAGAAGAAATTCACGTTTCAACTTTCTCATTTACTAAATTTTTCCTTAATCGAATGTCATCCAAGACGATTGTAGAAAAAAAGAGAAATTAACATTATTAAATTTTTCTTATGTCTTCACAGTATTATATTTTATGTACCCATTTATACCATAAATGCATAATATCCGCAGTCTACTAATTATGGTAAACATTATTGCAATTGTGTGCAAGTATTAGCACGTCCTTACTGTTTCTACCAATTGTTCGCTTTATAGTTTCAAATATAAAAGTGAAGTTGAAGATAAAAGTTATAAGTAACAACAATTTCACCAATCTGTTGTCAAGAATTTTTAAAAAATCTCAAATCCTATTATCAATGCATATTAAATTGCTAATAAAAGTGAAAATACTCCAGCGATGAGGATAACGTAGGGTAGTATTGGCAATGCGTGCACGTCCGCCGTTCTGCGTTTACCCTCAGCAAGAGGTACGCTATACTCGCACTAGAATAGAAGGTGACCACACGGTGGGGTTAATGCTTTCGTAGCGGAAGACCTTTGCAGACGCAAAACTGAGGCCCTTTTCGAAATCAATTTACAGTATACATCTCTAGAAAATCACAGTGCTGCTAATTATGTTAACTATTCCGGTTCTAGCTGTTTTTAAACAATAATCACTAAAAAGAAGATCGCTATAAGATTACTGAAATTTTCAGCATTAAAATTAGGATAGTTTCCCGATACATATTTTCAGTAACGGAAGAAGATTAAATTAGGAACTCCCCAAAAGATAAACGGTCATAATGAACAAAATTATTAAAATGACAATTTGACAAATGAAAAAATCCTTAAATGTTATTTGATGATAATTGTTAAAGAAATTATACATATAATTGTCATGTATTTATAATTTTGGAGACTTTTTTTAAGATTATTTTTTTATAATTTTGGAGACTTTCATTTCCCTTTCGTTGAGCGACTGATAGACAATAATGGGAACCTACTTTTACAAAAACTCGGCAAATTATACTTCAAGGACTCTTAATTTGGGACATCATATTATAAATTCCGTTTCTGCAAGGTCTCGATTAGGTGTCTGTTTAAAAAAGGATTGGTATTTGCATAATTCGTTTTCAGATATGTTCAGGAAACGTTTACCTAAATTTAAATCTTCGTGACGTTTCTTGTTCTCCATGTCTGCTCTTCTTTTATTGTAACCTTTAAAGGTTACCTCGCGACATTCGGGTCATCGATTTATCGCAAATTTTGTGCAGGTTACCTAACTGTACATTCTGTTGTATAGAAACAAAGATAATGCAATTTGGAAATTATATAAAATCAGGAAATGCACGGCCATATTTTATAGAAATTATGAAGTTTTTAGTATTTATTTGATAAAAAGTTATTTAATTCAATGTCCTTTGATATCTAATTGTCCTGATATGATTACATTAATTATACTTTATAATTCATTCAGAAACAAGACAGCATAAGTAGTGCAAATTGAACGTCCATCATAATTCTACACTTTTGTTCAACAGTTCCTTTCTTAGAATCGCGGATAAATAGTTTTCCTTTCTCTTTTACTTAGAAATCTACATGTGACTAAGAGA